TTCGAACACTATTTGAATGTGTCTAAGAGAAATCACTGCTTTGTTTGATTCTCATTTTTTTCAAAATACATTTTTCTCTCTCTTCTTTTCAATATTATATTCTTCATTAAAATAATATTACACATAAATCAACAAAATTTTTTATTTTTCAACCACACATTTTTCATCAATCTACTATTCTAAAATGCATTTTTCATAAAAATGAAATAAGGCTCAAACACCAACCAAATTACTCTCTCTCTCTCTCTCTCTCTCTCTCTCTCATGTAAGGGGTGTAACGACCTCTGATTAAAGTAGTTCCGAATGGTGAATAGAAGGCTTTTGCCACCTCCCTCTGGGATGGGTGGGATTTGCTCAACCCCCTACCGCTATCTATCTTAATGAAAGGAGATTCCCCTGATTTATTTTTTTTGCTCTTACTTTTCCTTAATTATAAAGAGGAATGCTCTCACTCGCTCTCTCCTTGCATCTAACAATTATCGTAAGATCAACCCCATTGATTGCAAATCTTTGGGGAGAGAATAAGGTGAATCAACTCAAATGATCAAATTTGCAATTGGAATATCAATTATATGAGTTTGCTGATGGCATGTATCTCCCTGTTTATGTTTCAAAACTGTTAAGTGTTATGTTATAGGTCTAATCAACTTTGGATATAAGTACTTTTAATATATGATTGATGCAATTTTTATGGCAGATCTATCATTTAACTAATATTCAATTAAATTAAATAATAGAGTCCGTAGATTTAAATCTTGGTAATTTGTTAATAATAAGGAGTTGTGATTTTAAGATAAAAATTACATATGATTGAATATTAAATTATTTGTGGTTGTATGTAATAACAAGATACGGATATCGTTATTACGGGATAGACCATCATGAGTCGTATTTCTTACTTGTGAAGTAAGCATCATAAATTAAAGTGTAATGACACTTAAAAGAACATGTGATATTTTGTTATAGAACAAAATATTGAAGACCCGCTAAAAAATTTCACATGGATAATTATCTGAGTATCAGTGGTTAATCTTTAACGTTCGATAATGGAATTGTTCCTTTGACTTGAGGTCATTATAGTGCCTTGTATGAGGTCAGTCATATTTTGGTGATGTTGAATATTGTTCTGCCAAGGGCCGCTAATACGGCATCATTCAGGTATGGCAATAATCATATGAAAGTTATGATTGACAAATAGAGTATTATTTACTCTTAGATAGTAAGAGATTATGATCTACATTTCATTCAATTAAGTTGATAATGAAATCTTTGACCACGGTGTACTCGTAAGTCGAAAAGAAGTTTTCGACTTATATTAACTTAATAGTAGAATGAAAGATATGATCGATAATCGATATTAACACATTTTCATATCTCGTAATTGATCGGATCATATTAACGAAGGGATTATAGTTTCACGGTAAACGAACATGTTTGGCTTTATCATACCACTTGACATTTCTCGTCATATGTGTTGCACTGACACATTATGAGATATCAATCTGGGACGGGAATGTGAATTGGTAATATATTAAAATGAGTGTTTTAATTTATCAATTTTGATTAGATTAAAATAATAATCCATGCTGTTAAATATTGTGATTGAGAGCCTAATTGGTCACACATGAAAAGAGAACTAGAAAATTCTGATTTACCAATTAATTAATTTAACAACGTTGAATAAATTAATTAGATTGCTTATTTATATGCTCGAATTAATTAATTAGATTAATTAATTCATGGACCGAATTTAATTGAATAAGTTAATTAAATATTGGATTGGGTCAGCAGGCGGGCCAAACCCGTTTGGGCTTATATAAATAAGTGGTTAAGGTTCAAAATTTGTAGAGAATTTTTCATTATCCACGCTAGCACAAGAAAATAAACACACTTGTTCTTTCTCAATCTTGTTCCCTGTGTAGATTTTCATTGGAGGTTGAGCAATTGGATAACTGTGGGTGGCAGATCAAAATTGATGGAACAAAAAAATAATAAATAAGTTCGCAGATTTCAACAAATGTATAATTTCTATTACAGTTTTTATCTAAACATAAAGCAAGTCTTTGATGGAAATTGAAATTTGTTTTATTTTCTACTGTGCATGATTAAGTAAATTCCCCACAAGAACTTGGCTCTAATCATGTTCTATTGGATTCAATTGCCATGAAAGACAACCAAATTGTGTGTATTAGCTTTCTTGTTCAAAATATCTATCTCGAATTTGGTTTTCAATAAAAAATAATAATAATAAGTGAACAAACAAATGGCTGGAAGCTTATGAACGAGATTTACCAAACCACAGTCACACTAATGATGAAGTTGCTAGCAAGTTCAGATACGCATGTGTATAAGAAATAGATGAATGGAATTGTTAATTGTATAAAACGGTACTCTTTACGACATGAAAATTATTAAAACAATAATAAGTCAATAGTATTTATTATAAGAAAAGAAGGAAATTTTTTTTATTATTTGTTAGTATCTTATCAAAACAAAAAAAATATATAAAAAGAATAAAATTTTGAAAGTGATAGCAACGGCTTCTCATCGGTGAGTATTCAGTGATTCTTGACAATATTTCAATGAAATTGTGTCGTCGGTAATTGTTGACCAAAATTTGTTGGTATTCACCAACTATATCAATGTCGAGCATTTATTTTAATCTGAATTACCAATAATTATACAATCAACATCACAATAGCTTCTGTCAACATCGTTTATGAAGTTGTATCAATAATCGTCGATACACATACTGTTGATGATCACTGATGAAATTTTCTCATTCATGATATGAAAATTTACACTCTTCCAGAAATTGGGAGTTTAATGTGTTGGGCCATAACTTATAATTGACAATGTCGATCCAAAGTAAATAGACCATAATGCGTACCTTGTATAATTTATGTGGAGGCTATTTTCGGAAGTGAAATTATTACAAGCAATTCATTTAACAATTGGATTTTATTTTATTTTATTTTTTTACATCTTTTACAATAGGATTGAGTGTGATATAATTTTTTTATAAATAAACAAGCAAAAGAACAAATATCAGCAATATTACCTGATTAAAAAAAGTAAATGCGTGATAAACTGCTAGATAATATGAAAATTAAACTTATAACTGGAGTCTAGATTTAAAATTTTAATTATTCAAATACTCCATATAATAAATAAGAAAGTGCTATATGTACATAATTGTCTACATAATGGTATCCATAATTACACGTGGTATTGGATCCAACTTTTAATTCAAATCTCACACTTGCACATCAACAACCGAATGATTACCACATTACATTATGGACACCATAATATTCAATAATTATGTACAAGTAGAATTTTTCTAATAAATAAAGAAATTTGAGCAATCGGTACATTACAAATACTTGATGATATTAAAAAGGTTGAAATTGGAAGCTTGCAAAAATCCATTTTCATCCTTCCATTGAAACTAAGCGTGCAACATTCGTATCCTTGGAGAAACCTTAATATTTATCTCAGAATCAACTGGAAGAGGAAATTGCATACTTCTTGCTTCGTGATCTTAAGGGGATTATTGTACGCCCTTCGTCCTCATTGAACCTGATTATTCTTCAAAGTCTCTACGTTTGATTGTAATCATGAAATTTGCATGGAAATAATTCCCTAGAATTTATTTTTATAAAAATTGTTAATTAAATGTGTTTGATTGATTTAATTTTCAACCTAGAAAATATTATACTTGTCCATTTTTTATTGGTGGGTTAATGAGAGATAGTGGATAAATAAGATAGAAAGAAAGAGAGTGAATTCCATGGAAAATAAAAACTCTTCTTAAAGAAAATATTTTTCTTAATTTTGAGGAAATATGGTTACGTAATCAAAAGTGGGAAAATATTTTTCATGAAAAAAATGGCAATCAAACAGCACAAAAGTATGAGTTTTAGTAGAAAAAATACATTTTCCATGAAAAATATAAATAATCAAACGCACTCTAATATAAAAATGTTTGGCCATGTCCACAATTCAGAGACTGGAGCAATTAGTTCCATTATCTTCTTCTTACAGAAGTGGAAAACTTGTTTTAGGTAGGCGAATCATCTCAAATCGCTTGTTGCTCATGCCAAAACAATAAATAAATGTCTACGCCCACCAATAATAAGTTTCATTCATGTAAGCTGGTCTACCATAACTAGTGGCGTCATTAATTTTTCTCTAGAATTTGTACTCGAGTTATATACCTCGATTTTATTTTTTGATAAATTACTGCTTTAATGTCAAGTTCAACAAATGAAAAATCAAGAAAAAACTAGATCGAAAATTATTAATTAAAAGAACAATTATTCCAAATTGAAAACCAAATATGATTGCCAAAAATTATAGCCTCTTTCAAAAACTGTTCTACAATAAGCAAAAGTAAAAGCTATGCCAGACCGACCCTAAATCAAATTAACAGCATACCTATTAATACAAGAGGAGAATTGACGGGTGTGTGTTACAATTAATATTTGGAATTGGGCCACAATTTGTAAACCAAATGTAAATGGGCCGTAAATAAAAGTACTGTATATCTATATTTTCCAAGAATTATTCTGAGTGTAACACTGAGTTTGACAGCCCACTCGCATTAGTGGGCCTCGCGATTGTTTTAATCGTGGGACTCGCTCATGTGATGTGAGAGGGCTGTCAAAGATGATATCAAAAAGAGTGTAAGTGTAGTATATTTGATTTTCCAATGTCATACAAAAATAATTTATTTCGAGAATTACTCTCTGCGGGTTTTTTCGTAGTTGAGTTCTGCTTCCGCTGGATTTGAGATGTCATCAAATTTAATGTCTTTTTCTGGCATTTTACTAAGACCTTACTACTTAATGCTAAGGTGTTGCCAAAAGTGTGATCCCACAAAAGGCCATGAGTTAAGCTAACCACATACATGTCCTTTGTATGAGGCATTATTTTGCGTCTAATATATATTGAATCAAGATTTCACTTGGAATTGAATCAGATGAAAAGTACTTTACATGGAAAGAGAGTGTTTCCCTCCTCCTCCTCATCCTCATGTAATAGTTTTTCCATTTCCAGTACACAGCCATGTTCATGTTATGCTAAATCTAGCTGAGATCCTCTCCCTTCATGGCTTCCATATCACATTTTTCATCACCGAATATACACGTAAAAGTTGTTATTTTAGAGAAATTTCTTCTCATTTTGCACGTTATCTCGGTTTTCATTTCCAGACAATTTCAGATGGTTTGCCCTTCAACCATCCAAGAACAGGTGACAAAGTCGCTGAACTGTTTAACTCCATAGATTCTACAACAAAACCACAGTTTAAGGAGGTGCTGAAATCAGGGCTCGTAACTCGTGATGGCAGGCCTCCTATAACTTGCGTAATTGCTGATGGAATTATGTGCTTTACAATTGATATCGCAAAGGAATTCCAACTTCCTACCATTCTCTTTCGTCCATTCAGTGCAAGCTGCTTTTGGTCTTTATTTTGTGTCCCTAAGCTCATAGATGCTCTCGAGCTTCCATTAAAAGGAGACTACAACATGGACAAATTAGTGTCAAATGTGCCAGGAATGGAGGGCTTTCTTAGGCTCCGGGATCTTCCAAGTTTCTGTCGTGCAAATGATCTATCAGATCCTAAACTTCAACATGTTGTGTCTGAGACTCATCGTGCTGCCAGCGGCTATGGCCTAATACTGAACACGTTTGAAGAACTAGAAGAGTTCTCATTAGCCCATATTCGCACTAAATTTCAAAATGTGTATACAATTGGACCCTTACATGCCAGCTTGAAAACAAAGACAACGTTGCAGATGCGATCATCTAGTGGACTCAAGGAAGAGGAAAGTAAATGCATGGCATGGTTAGATGATCAGGCATTGAAATCTGTAGTTTATGTGAGTTTTGGAAACATGACAGTGTTGGATATACACCAGTTGATGGAGTTTTGGCATGGTTTGGTGAATAGCGGGAAGCCCTTTTTGTTGGTCATTCCGGCTAACCTGATTTCCGAGGAGTTCCAGGTTCCAAGAGTCCATTTTGAGGGCACTAAACAAAGGGGAAAAGCGGTGAATTGGGCGCCACAAGAGGAAGCTCTTGCCCACCCGGCCATAGGCGGGTTTTTGACACATAGTGGATGGAATTCTACTCTTGAGAGTATTTGTGAAGGAGTACCAATGATATGTTGGCCATTTTATGCTGATCAGCAAGTGAATAGCAGACTGGTAGGGGAGGTGTGGAAGATTGGATTGGACATGAAGGATATTTGTGACAGAGTCATAGTGGAGAAAATGGTGAAAGAATTGCTGGATGTGAGAAGGGAGGATTTTATGAAATCGGCTAATCAAATGGCAAGATTGGCAAGAAAATCAGTGAGTCAAGGAGGGACATCCTACTGTAATTTGAATCGTTTGATTGAGGACATAAAATCAATGAATTGTTTGATTCAGGATATCCCAAAATCCAACTATTAACAAAATGTAAATTTCAATCACCACTTCACAAAATGTAACACTTATATTCAAATGTTTGAATTTTGATGTATGATCTTTATTTTCCTTTTACAGTTGACATACAAACACAATATCGTACATATAGGCACATGTCAAAGTTAGGAAGAGACTTAAAACCCACGACACCACACGGGAAATCTATACACCAAACACGCACAAGGACAAAAATGTCCACAAATAACTCCACGCACATATATAATCACTTATGCACGTATATTCTATCAAACAAATTCAAATTGCATAAGAAGCTTCACATACTTGTACTTATCCCTTCTGCAATTTTGAGTTGGAATTACACGGATATCTTGTCTCAATTCTAATATCGATAGGCACTTTTGGCCTTCAAAGTCATCCTTATCTGACATTTCATTCTCATGAGAATTAAGCTAGTATGCCAGATGAATTATGCCCACCCAGGTGATCAACTCTCACATTGGCATGGGACCCGCACCAACCTCATTTGAATAAAAAATGTAAAAATGACACTCATCCACCCAGACTGTGAGTGTAGGTCAACTAAGGTGTCAAATTCATTTGGGCAAACCAGCATGATTGTTCTGGCGAACTTCAGTCCGAAGTAGAGCCAGTTTTGGAACTGTTAATGGTTATTCAAAAACCTCATACCGTTTTATAATTAATCCAGTTGTCCTTGAGTATCTTGTTTTCTTCATCACAATATCACTAGACTCTCCAACAATTCCTACCTGAGTATAAATAAGTCTGCAAGCCTAGTAACATCTGACATAAGATATTCAATACACAGCCATTTACAATAGCCCCTGTTTGATTTTGATTCTTCAAAAATCTCTTCTCCCCTACACTTATTTTCAACCACATATTCTTTAAAAAGAAAAATCATGTCCATAACATTTCCTACCTTTTAATTACACATTCGCCAAAAAAATAATTATCAAAATATCAAAGTCAAATAAGAGCTATAATCTACTTTAAATAAACCCAAATATAGCCCTTGTTTGAGCCCCATTATGGAGAAAAAATATATTTATAAATAGTGTTTTTTTGGAGAGTGTATGATTAAGAAGCAAGAAATTTTTTTTGATTTACATATAAAATTATTTTTATTGAAAAATGTGTGATTTAAAATGAATTTTGAAAAAAGTGAGTGTTTGGAAATATAGTGCTGAAACGAGGTCATAATTTGGACCCCCAAGATAGCATTCATCTACTGGTCGTAAGCTAATATTTTATTGTCCTTTCTACTAGGGCACACGATCACAACTTAGCATATGCACAAAAGTTTGAGAGGGACGTACATCAGGTCATATAGAATGTAAAGAATATTAAGTTAGTAGTCGGACAAGCATTTTTTTAATGATTGTGGGTGTCCGAACAAGTTTACTCACAGCTCGACTAATTTCATGGAGCCCTAACGTTTACAGTCGGATACTCATCTTATTGGTTCTAAGGAGACTCGAACTGGTGTTTATTGGGAAACAAACCCAAGACCTGACCACTGAACTACTCCTCAGGGTTCAGAGAAGCATACAAATAAAACATTAGCCTCAGTTCAAAAGCCAAAAAATTAAATAAAAAAGAGTCTGATCAACTTGGGCACATCCCGCGATTTACCTCCCTGACCTGCTGAGGGGCTGGAAGTTCGGGACGAGGATATAGTCTGGCGTAAGTTGGGACACCTCGTTAAAAAAATAAAATAAAATAAAATAAAAATAAAAAAACCTTATGATGGGAGAGGTTGAAAAGGGGGTTTAGCAGTAGATCTTTCATAAAATCCTCAATAAAGTGATTGATGTGTTGCCGCCGTCCCATCCAGCCAATCGGGTCAATTCTAAACCTTTTTTTGTCAATATAAGCAACAAAAATGGTAGGTATTAACATTAAGTGCTTATAATTGATTAACACACTTGACAAGAGGCTTCAGCCATGCAAATGAGGCCACGTATTCTTTTCATCATATGATCTGCATTCACTCTATTTTATTATAAAAGCTCACAAAATATACCATCCAAAAGATAATTTAAGTTTAAACTCTCAAACTATAATTTTGCTATCCTTATTGTTATTATCACAAATTTCCCCAAAGTCAACCCCCTTTTTATATTGGAGGCTCGCGTCTATAGCACTCCACGCCTTTACATATTATTCCAATTGATTTGACTGTCGGAGTACGCACAGTAAACTCTACCACCACTGAAAGAAATCATGTGTGGCTAACGGTTTGTCCAAGTATGCAGGTATTAGACTTACATGGACACGAGGAACTTTGGGATCTATTGCGCACGTTAGATGTACAAAATTCAAGGTCAATGCCATCCTTCACCCATGAATACAATCGCCTGGTTAATAGGATGGTGAATAGATGAAATGCAAAGAGATTACATGGAATTCAGTCGATTTAGAAATTAATGGTGTTGTCCAGAATATTAATCCCAAACAAATTCCAAACAAATTCCAAACCTACCTTATTGAAGTTATAAGGTACAAATGAAAGGTTTTTGTAAAGTCTTAAAAAAAAAAAAAAAAATGGAAGGTTTGAACCCTAGCTGTAATTATCCCTTACACATTTCGTTAAATGTCACATTAGTACCATTTAAATTGATATTTTAATATCGATTATGCTAAATAACATTACTCTTAAATACATTGATATAAGACTTACTTTATTAACTTTATCATTTATTTTACATCACTTTAATATCTAATAGAAATAAATACAAGTATTACACTTAGGGTAAAAAAAAAAAAAAAAATGGAAGGTTTGAACCCTAGCTGTAATTATCCCTTACACATTTCGTTAAATGTCACATTAGTACCATTTAAATTGATATTTTAATATCGATTATGCTAAATAACATTACTCTTAAATACATTGATATAAGACTTACTTTATTAACTTTATCATTTATTTTACATCACTTTAATATCTAATAGAAATAAATACAAGTATTACACTTAGGGATGTAAACGAGTCAAGCCAAGTCGGTTCAGGAGTCGAAATTTTAGGCTCGGACTCAACTCGAGTAAAATGATCGAGCCTTTTTTGGGGGGGGGGGGGCCAAAAAAAAAAGGCTCGAGCTGAGCCGAGTAGGCTCGATTTTTTGCTGAATTTTTTTTCTCTCTATAAACATGTTTGGCAGCAACCTACTACCTAAAATAGGCAGCAGCACTCTGCCTTTAAAAAATATATATATTTTTCTATATATAAATATAGACTTGTAAGCTCGAGCCGGCGAGCCACACAAGCTAGCTCGGGCTTTGCCCGACACCCCAAAATGAGGCTCGGCCCGAGCCTCGAGTCAGACGGGCTGGAACTTTTTTTGAACCGAGCCATGAGCTGCTCGACCGGACGAGCCCGATTGCTATCCCTAATTATACTGCATTAGATTGGGGTTACGCCGCATAAGAAGTATTTATAAGTAACGAAAAATTAAAAAATATATTCTTATAAGAATTTTTTACTTATATTTTCTTTAGGTAAATTTTTCTTACTCGGAAGTTCTCTCCTTTTTTTTCACCTTTAAGTAATTTGTTTACATGTAAGTAAATTTTGTATCTTAAAAGTGACATTTTACTTATAACTAACTTTTTAATTATAAGTAATATTTCATATGTAAGTGAATTTTTTTAAAGTATAAGTCACTTTTTATATTTATTAAAAAAAATATCTGATAAGTGAATTTTTTTAGTTATTAGTAGTATTTTCACTTAGAAGAAATTGTTTTACATAAAATTGAATTTTTGTCTCAGAAATAACTTTTTAATCATAAACTTTTTGGTTATAATGTAAATTTTTATTTGTGATTGATTTTTTGGTTATAAGCTATTTAGCTTATTAATAGACTTTTTACTTATATTTGGATTTTTTTTATTTCCAAGAAGTATTTTACTTATGGGCAATTTTTAAATAGGTGATTATTTTGTCTTATAAGTAATCTTTTACTTATCGATAAACATTTTAGTTAGAAAGTTTTTTTTTTTTTTTTAACTTATAAGTGATTTTTCTACTCATATAAGCATTTTACAATTTACGTTAATTTTACTCATTGTACTCATAAATGAATTTTTTACTCCTAAGTTAAATTTCGTTACATATAGTTAATTTTTTCATTTAAAAATGAATTTTTCACTTATAAGTGGACTTTACTTATAATTGAATTTTTGCTTTCTCAAATCTTATTTATGAAGTAAATAGATGTAATTCAAGATAACTAATATATTCTTAATTCATAAATTGGAGAATAAATTATACAAAAGAAACCCAACCCACACATATTATACAGTTGGATAATTATATATGTACTGGGGAGGGGGTTTACCGAATGGTGTCCCCCCTCTGACAATGTATGGCAGGCTCGTGCATGAATTTAAAATTGACAGTACGTGGTCCCCACTCCTATTGTGAGTAGTTGGTAAAAAGATTTGATACGTATAGTATTGTCCATATACAATTTAATAGAGGACGATAAACAACATAGATTAATTTAAATCAGGCACTAATTATACCAAGTACCAAAAATAAGGATTAGATATTATTTTAATCCTATATAATTTAATACGGCTCGCCAACCATGCCTCTAAAATCCTAGAGGATGGTTGATGTAGCAGAAAGATGAGAGTTAAATTATCTAATAAAGTTAGAATACATTTATAAACACTGGACAAAGTGTTTCCAACGTTCACATTATGAGTTGAGATCTACTTTTCAATTCTTGTTATTCACACAATTAAGTACTGACACATCATTTTTAAATTAACATGTTATCTCAAATTTACCCACATTAATTTCACCACTATCCCATCAAATTAATAACATATTAATTTAAAATGATGTGTAAATAATTAATTAAGCAGATAACAAAAATTGAACATCAAATTTCAACTCCCCTCATGGAGCAATGAGCTTAAATCTAGATTAGCGAATAGAATAATGCTATATCTGCTTACTAGAGACGGTCACCTATCTATGTGGTACATACTATGAAATGATAAGGTAAATTAAAGGGAAAATTACCTCAATCCTTAAATTTTAAATTTCAAATATCAGGTATTAACAAATTATTTTTTTTTTTCAAAAATCAAGTCATAAGTATTGTTTTAAATTTAAAAACATATTTTACACACCACTGCAATCTTATCCATGCCCACTTTATATACATCACCCATGCCCACGAGACTAATTAACAATGGGAATGAAGATATTAAAATTATAATAATTGTATACTTTAAAGTTTAATCCCCATTACAATCATACCTGCCCCACTGTATATCACCCCCGCCAACGAAACTAATTATGAGAATCAAAATATTAAATTATACTAATTAGTCCCGTAGGCATAATCTTGAGCTTTACGAACCTAATGCCAAGTAAATATTTATTATTGAGTTATAAATTTATAAAACAAGAAGCAGTCTTTCATTTTATTGAGGAGAAAGCCGCCCCCCATTTCATTTCGAGCGAAGTCTCCGGCCTTCCCGTTATGACTTAGAGCATCTCTCATGTCTTATAAGTTACTTGCGAATGAATGGCGGGGAATCTGACACGTATAGATATACGGGAAATGATCTATTGGATATCGGTGACATGGCACACAAATTAATTGATGAATCAATTGGTGCGTCATGTTATCGGAGTTTAACATAAGCTAAGCACCGGTGCCCATTAAAACATTTTCCATATATATAAAGTCTGTAATGGGGTGTATAATATGTCCTTAAATTTTAAATAATAAAAAATTTAGACCCTGTTGGTACATATTAATGTAAAAATGAGAATGAAAAATATAGTCGTAACGGGTCCCACACAAGAGATAGAAATTCAAATATGGGGACTTGATGTGATGGATAACATTCATATTTTTCATTTTAATGGGCAAATAACGGGAAACAAACGGGGGCTTAATAATAACGGATTTTTGGGCAATTTACAAAAATACCTTTAAAATTAGAGGTCTTTTGAAAAATCATATGAAAAATTTTTTGGAAGTAAAAAATGCTGCGTGATACTAAAAAGTGACACAATGTCACTTTTTATATAAAAATTGTAACTTTTTAATTAAAAAAAATGACTTAATGTCAATGTCACTTTTAAAAGTTAAGTGTCACTTTTTATTAAAATAACAACATACAATATCATTTTTATTAAAAATTGATCTTTGCTATTAAAAAAATGATAAAAATCAATAAGGTGACTGAAAAAAGTGACAAATAGTAGAAAAAAGTGACAAAAATTTAAGAAAGTGACTAATTCAAAAAAAGTGACACAAATTAAAAAAGTTTGATTAAAAAAAGTGACAGAAAATAAAAAAGTGACAAACACTCAAAAAGTAACAAAATTAAAAAAAAAATGACAAAAGAAAACTGACACAAATTTTTTTTTAAAAAAAGTGACAAATACTCAGAAAATTGACTTTCTTTTCTTAAAAAAAATAACTAAATAAGTATTTTTTTTCTTTTAATTCTATTTTGACGTTACTCCTTTTAACTTATTTACAGGCTATATTTCGACACGTGTTGGGTGACATTTTTGTTATTGTTTCGAAGTATTTACGACAAATTTTGAAATTTATCTTTCGAATTTGAAAATCGATAAACGACGATTTCATAATAACAAGTCAAAATGGTCATAAGAAATGGACTTAATAATTATATGGTTTAATTTGTGTTCGATATTTCACGAGAGATAATTTTTGACATTTAGACTTTATCCATAACATATTTATCATGACCTTATTACAAGCTTTCTAATAAATTTTGATTCACTCAAAATGGATAATTAATACGTAAAATGTTTGCCACTTACTACTACATTTGATAAATAAAAATATAGTGCTCCAACAAACATACACGATAAAAAATAGCTGCACTAACCACATTGAACATGGGCCAAAAAATAGCTCAGAAATACAACATGAGAACCCAATTCACTCACCTAAACAAATCCCAATACTTTGATCGCCGGGTTTCATCCTGGAGGTTGCGAAAACCAGCAGTCCAATCTAAAGTTTCTTAAATTTCGCAACTAGGGTTCCTCCTTCTTCAGCTGGATCCTCAAACTTCTGAGAATTGCATTGCCGGGGGAAAAATTTTGGAAAAAAGAAACATCAGAACTCAAATGAGAGAATTGGAGGAGAAAGAGAGGCCTCGTTGATTGCCTTACATATAATCAGCTGTCTCCTATTAAATAGCGAGGTTACATTTCGAGAACAAGATGAAGTGTTAGATGGAATAGAAGAGAGGAAGGTATTTAATCGCGGTGATTTTTTATTAAATCGCCTTCATCTTCGTCATTGAGGATTAGGATTTTGATGTCTATACAAATGACTCCTTTTCATCAATTTTCGGCGTTTATGTACGTATTATTTATTGTTAAATAAAAGGATTGCTGAAAATTAATTAATTAGGTGCATTATTCAATTTTGTTGCTTTTGGGCAGTATTGAACCTAATTTCCCCTATTTGAAATGCAGGATTTTTCTCAAAATCAAAGCCCATTAAACCAGCTCAAACCCAAACCTATATATATATATACACACACACGCACGCACGCACGCACATATCCATCCCCTTATGCGATCTGCCTCTACGTCTCTCTCACCATCTCTACTCTGTTTAGTACATGCCGGAATACCAAACTGCTCTCCATCGTTTCAAGGTAGGAGTTGGATTTATGGGATGATTATTTGGGTTAATTGTTCGAAGACACACTGAACTTTGCATAAGGATACGTTTCACTCACTAAACTTTAGTTTGCACCCCATTACTTATTGAACTTTGAAAAGTTGTACTCCATCACTCACCCAGTAACTTACGTCTAGCCCAATTGCCTACGTGGATAACAGTTTGCACATGCGGCCGTTAAGTTGCTCCCTCTCAAAAATGAATTGCCAAGTCACTAATACCAAACCCCAAACAGGCAATTCAAATTCCAGGCGGGAGATGAAAACTTCATTCCAGAACGAGATCTTCATCTCTCAAACCAGAGTTTCCCAAATCCAAGTCAGCCCTAAACCCCAAATTCAAAATTAATTCGAAACTGAAGGCTCCCAAAAGGCGATTCTTTGAAACCGTTGACATGGAGAGAACAAATGGAGGTAATTCAGAAAAATGTTTCATTTTATATTTTAATATCACTGTCTTTGTACTGCAACTAAGATTTTCGAAGCATTTCCTTTTGTTGTTCAAGGCTTTGATTTTGTTGTTCGAGGTTCCGGTTGTTCAAGGCTCTGGTAATTCAGGAAAATGTCCCCTTTTGTTGTTCAAGACTCCGATTTTCAATTTCAAATTTTTCTAAGATTATCGTAGCATTTATTCTTGTTTATAGGTTAAAATGACCAGTAGTTAAGCTAAATAACTATAAAGTTTATGCTTAAATTTTCTATGTAATTGAACCGCAAGAGTTAAGAAACGGGATATAGTGTTCAGTTTTATTTTCTATGTGAATGACCAGTAGTTTTATTTTTGTTCTATGTTATTGAAAGCTCAAGTATAGGATTACAGGATAGAGTGTTCAGTTTTTCTGACTGTTTTTATTCTTTATTTGATTGCCATTATTTTTTTTTACAATCGATAGTTCCTAATCATGGAATTTATACACAGGAAACGTTCAGTTCGAATCACTTCGAGATGTCCCTCGACTTAACCATCTGAAAGGGTAAAGGAGACACGGAAAGGGCATCTATTTCACCTGTCTACTTGAGAAGAAGAATTAGCTTTAAATTTCATGGCTTTGTAATACAGAATAAAATATTCATGCTTAACATTTTATTATTGTTGATGTTAAAACTGGTGAATTTTTCCTATTCTTAAAATTTGACGTTGCCATGTAATGGAGCCTATGAATGGTTTAATTAGTTTAAATAAGTGTTTAATTACTTAAAAATGACTGAGGTTGATCACCATACAGTTTCATTAGTTTAAATATGTGTTCAAAAGCATCCGTGAATTGTACTGCCGCATTAAGCATCATATAAGTAGTATTCCATTGCATTTGCTTAATCAAGTACTAAACATCCCTCAGTAGTGATTCCAACTTGTTGAGCACTCTCATTTAGTTTTCCTTATATTGCTTGTGAACTTCCAGCGTGAAATTGTAATGTACATATTGTATTGGCCAAGTAAAAATAGAAGAAGAAAAACTGAATATTCAGCAGTTATTTGAGTGCAAAGATCTCAGTTAGTATGCTTGTGAACTAGTCTCTGGTTAATATGTAACGAAACTTTACAACATATGTAAAGAGAGAAAAAACCACATCAAAAACTACACAAACACGACATTCAATATCCTTGCATTCCTAAATGGCGCTTCTGCTCTTTCTGCCTTCACAATAATAAAGAAAACCAGCAACAACAGTTTCACTCACTTCATCCCTTATTCCCTCAAACAGAAAGCAACACCAGTACAAAAACCACATCAAAAACTACACAAACACGGCACCCATCACTGCCTTCAAAAGTTAGATGTTCAATCACAAAGAACACATCAAAAACTACACAAACATGAACCATGATGCCTTCAAAAATTAGATATCCAAGTTCATACTAGCTTCAAAATTTTGATTGCTGCTCGATGCCCGGAGTTAGTATGAATTCAAATCTATAAACTTCCTCGTGTGCTTGGCTCGAGCCAACTCTATTCCTTCAACTGGGGATAAATTTTCCGTCCATAAAAAAAAATTAAAAAAAAAACTTATTAAGCAACTTATAATCTCAATAAATTACACACATACCTAAATAATATCATAAGTACTTAATTCAATTCCCTCTGTGACATTTTGTCAAGTAGCATATCATCTTCACTAGAGCATATATCTTTATTGGAATCATTGAATTCAGTGTCATCCTTCGTATCTGTCGCATCAACAAGAAACTGAAAACGATGAGCAACATTTTCGTATGTACTTTGCTTTATTTGTTTTACTAAACTAATATTTATGGATAATACCCATATCAAATAAACCAAGCGCAAGAAAATTAAGTTAGCACATTGTTGATAATGAGGTTTCCCCATAACTACGATGCAATTATACTAAATGGTATACAATAATAATATGAACCATAGAAAACTAGGAAAGGAAAATATATTATTTAACAGACAACTACATTAAAATTCAAGCAGTACACAGGAAAAAAGAATAAACTAAAAAAAAAAAAAAAGACAAAACAAAACAAACGAAACAACCAAGATCGTGCAATCAGGTGCCTATTAAAAACGAAGAAACCATAAATAAATTTTAGGATTTACCTCGATTCTCTTCCTCCATGTGCGCTTCTTGAAAAACCCAGTATTGGTGGTTGGTTGGTTGTGGACATCAACGGCGACGGACGTTCGGTTAGGGTTCACCTTTAACAGTGCAATTGTTCGATCTTTTTTGGGCGGGTGAGATTCTAGATCGTGATTTCACTTTTGAGGTAAGTTGTGTTTGTTATCGAAGTTGGGGGTTAGGATTGAATTGGATTTGGGAAATTCTGGTTTGAGAGATGAAGATCTCGTTCTGGAATGAAGTTTTCATCTCGCGCCTTCAGTTTGAATTGCTTGTTAGGGGTTTGGTATTAGTGACTTGGCAATTCATTATTGAGATGGACCAATTTAACGGCCACGTGTGCAAACTATTGTCCATGGAGGCAACTGGGTTAGATGGAAGTTACTGATGAGTGATGGAGTGCAATTTTTCAAAGTTCAATGAGTAATGTAGTGTAAACTAAAGTTTAGTAAGTGAAACGTGACCTTATGCAAAGTTCAATGTGTGTTCAAACAATTAACTCTGATTATTTAGATGGGTTTCTTTTTCATTTAATTTTTAGCCAAATTGGTCTTTTTTCTGTTGGATAGTGATTTTCTGTTTAAATATGTAAAACTTTTTACCCAGTTTTTAATAATTTTTACTAAATTACCCGTTTATTATGCAAAATCAAGGGAATTTGGGGTTAAAAGTTCTGTTTTATTTTATGTCTTTCTATATTGCTTCGAATTTTCTGTTTACCGTATTTGGATTGTTTAATTATTTCTGTGTAACTTATCGAGTTTATATGATGTGCACTCTCTTCAATTTAGATAGACTGTGTTGGGTGTTGAGAAATTTGGAAAAAATGGATAATTATGGTGAAGATGTGATTATCAATATCTTTTTAAGGTTGCCCATGAAAACTCTGTCAATATGTATTTCTATATTTATTTTCCAATATTACCTTTTATGGCCCAATTCCCCATAATATAAAAGACGATGCCACAGATTCCCAAATCTCTTAATCCGTCGGATCTTCTTCTAGATCTCAACACTAGCCTCCTCTTTAACCTTAAGCGTCCCCCACTACGCCTGCACTGTTATGTTGTTGATTGATGATCACATTTCTAGCTGGGGTTTGCTCTTGCCTTATGTAGAATTTGCATATAACAATTCAGTGAATCAAACAACGGGGTGCATGCCATTTTAATTGATTTACGGAGTGAAGCCTCAAACTCCCTTGACTGAAAGCTCACTACCGCTACCCAAAAGTCTCATAGGGATTGATTTTTCTAATTTCATGAAGGATACTGTGCAGAAGTTTGCTACTAAATTGCTCTTCTAACAGACAAAGCACGTGCAATTTACTATTGGTGACCAAGTTATGATCTGACTTTGGCCAGAAAGATTTTCTCCAGGGAGCTTTAGCAAGTTGGATGCTCGACGAGCTGGGTCATTCTTGATTCAGAAACAATTAGGGCTAATGCCTATGTTGTTACAATTTATAAGCTAACACATACTTTGGCTTTTAATTAAATTTTGCTACCATAGTGGTGCACGAGTTTATATCCAAATGTGTCCCTATCATGTAGCCTATCCAGAATTGACAAAAATATATTGTATGCATGGCCTTTACTTCATATGTTAGCGTGTCTCCAACAAAGTCTGTTTATTTCTTGGAACAACATTAGTCCAAAGGTCGCCACATGGTATCAAGCTATAAGAATAGCAATTGCGTTTTTCCATTTTTTTCTCTCTCTTGCGTGATTGGGTCTCTTCTACATGAAACTTGAAAGTTCCAACTCTTGGTCAATTTTACATTTTCTCTTACATTTAAATAGATAATTTCTTGCTTCCAGTCCAAAGATCGAGGTTCGGTAACTTTATATGAATCTCACTCCCCCCAAACCACCACCACGCACGCACATTTGCGAAATAAAATCCTAACTAATACTGGAGTTGTAGGAGTAGGCGCCGGTGCTCGTGGCTTATATTCCTGAAACTACACAAGTCTGAACCTAACATATTTCATTCCTCAAATATAAAAAAATTCAATCACAGAATGGCTAACTATAAGATTTAAACTGTGCACATTGCATGATTCCTTTTCAAGTTCCTCTTACTTCTCCCATCTAAATGGAGACCTCGAAATCACTTTGGCAGCATGAAAATGAAAATTGAACTTGTGTTTTAAGAATTCTCCAGAGCCAATTTTTTTTTACAATGGTTATCATACCTAGTTCCCTTTCTGACTTCTTGTTGGAGCACGTGTTTGCAAGCTCTATTATCAAGCACCTTTGAGGGTGCAAAGTTGGGGCAGAGACTAAAAGTTGAGAACTAAAAAGGAGATGAGGATAGTATTGAGTTATTTACAAAAGTAGTACATTTTAGCCCGTTTCCCAGGGAGCACGCAGATCCCAAAAAAACATAGTTTCTCCTCCAAAAATGACATCTCCGGTCGGGGAACGCATTAGATATTTACCTAAACGAGTAGGTCCTTGAGCAAGCTTTGTACAGAAAGGAAGGAAAGCCAAAAAAAAAAAAAAAAAAAAAAAAAAAAAAAAAAAAAAAAAAAAAAAAAAAAAAGAGGGAAAGCGTGCATCAAGAAGAGTGACCTTTTCTTTCAAGTGTATGAATCTATCTATGCGGGTAGTGGTGGAGCTGTTCACTACGGAGCTAAGTGAGAGTGCAAAGTCAATTATATGAAGTGCAAACAGACAAACAACTTCTAACTCTAATTAGAGCACCCCCTCGTGGACAGAAACTATACGTAATCCATCCACGAATAAGAGAATAGCAGAATAAGAAAAATCATATATTTCTGTACGGTTTTGCACAATTTTGATTCTCTTGTCTACAGGCTTACAGAGTTGTAGTAATAAAGTAGATTCATTTATAGACTAATCAATAAATACCTAGATTAGTGTTGGAATGTTCAAATGCTTGAATTAAAGATGGTAAATGTATATCCGCTAGTATTATTCATGTGTGAGGGGCCTCTATACCAAGGTTAATTCAATTAGTATATACCATACTTGTCAATTTTTAGCACCAACTCTATTTTCTTCCATGGATTGAAATGTGTTCCATATGTACGTGTGATCGTGATATTTCAAACATAAAAAATTTAATACATGATACTAATATTTTGTTTCCGGTTTGGGTTAAATCAGAATTTGCACTTTGGAGAATTAACTCAGTTGTGGGAATTCACGGAATTATCTTGCATGCTCCATCTGTTACACGAGATATGATAATTTGATATTCAGTTGCCAAATTCGTGGAAGTCTAATTTCAGACACAAAAATATAATAATATTAAAAATAAGGAAAAAAAAAAAAAGTCAGTTTCTTTAGTAAATAATAATGCACTCCGTCACTCCTACCTAATTAATTCTAAGTGGCATAACAAAACGTTAATTTTTCCTTCATTTATTCTGCTTTAGTAATGCCATTTCTACTTATTTTTGGAACATAAATTCCTGTTTATTCTAGTAAACAAGCTTTTGTAATTGTGGAAAATTTTATTGCTCCAATGTCCTACTTCATAAGTAGGAATAAATTCTGAAAATATGGTCTTTCAGAACTTTCAAGAACTGATTTGATAGAGAGAGCGTCAAGGAAATGTTTTGATGAAGTCTAGATAGAAGAAGAATGAAAAACATCACAAGACCTGCGAATATGACCTCTACAAAAACATGAAGGAGTCTCCACACATGGCCTCTGAAAGCTCAAGCGCAGAAGAGCGACTGATTATGCCAACCAGGACCCCTACAAAAACTGAAAAATTGCTTCTTGTCAATCCACAAGTAAAACTCAATCCTGCAACAATATACTCAAATGAAATCCCATCCGTAATATTCCCCGAAAACTTACCATCCTCTCTCCTTTCTAATAATCCCAATCCAATAATAAGCCGGTTTTCTTTCAGTTTATTGCAAGCTTGTTTTGTTAGGAACAAAGATAACATTATTAAAGAGATGTTCGTAATTTTTCCTGTGAACAGAGTAACATCCTATGATGTCCCTCTTGCAAAAACAATTGACATAACATTTCAGCATTATCTCTTTAATGATCTACGGTGACCATTAAAGAATGGCTAATACTAATATTAAAATGAAAATTGTTAAAGTGTACATAAAAATTGTGAAAGGAAAGAGATAAGCAAAACACATTTTAGATAAAATTCCCAAAAGGGTAAAGTTGATTGTTAATAATGGCCAAGATGAGCATAAGCAGAAGCATTATTTACTTGCTTCTCTTCCCTAATTAATCATCTGGAAAAGGCAGAAAAAACTGTCTATATTTAATAGATTACTCGCAGTAGAATGAACTTCATATTACAAGAAGCAAATATTTCTCGATAATTACCCGTTTCTTTTATATCACAAGAAAGTATGCACTCTAAAACATTAAAAAAAAAACAGTTACCTGATTGACTAGAAATTATTCGAGCATGTCATCAAATCAACCATAAACTTGGGTTTTCCATTTACTTCAACACAGAGTTAGGAAACTAGTCATATTTTCCATTTTCCTTTTGTTTATTCCTACCCAACCAAATCCAAATAATTAAAATTTCAAATTCACTTTAAAAATAAAAATTAGGGTCATCTTTTCGTACCTTATAGTTCATCATGAGTTATACTTTCAACCGGGAAGCTGATCCTATCTTTGCAGTCATAAGTGAGATAATATTTTTCATAGGTACAACAATTAGAAAAATCTCCATTCCTCTCGAAGCAAAAGCTTATCTCAAACAATTGCGACTTGTACTGGTTGCACTTGATTTCCGTAATGATTTTACCTTTAATTTGGTAAAGTCTATGTGGAAAATTTTGACTCAGATACTCAGTAGTTGCACTGGGTGGCATACCTGCATTAATATTTAATAGATATTACAGTATATATAAGTATAATATAAGTATCAAGCATACAAGATATTAATATTGTATTGTATTTACCTTTCCTACTGAAATATTCAACAATCTCCCCATATTTCTCATCCACCAATGCTTTGCATTGAAGAGCCATCTTGAAGTATGAATTTGGGCTCAATCCAATGTTATGGCCATGTTTCCTCCATTCCTCAGCCCAAAAGTTAAAGTTCGGACCTCGAAGATTTGGCCACATTTGATTTAATTTTTCTCTTATATCAGCAACCTAACAAAACAAGTTTCAAACTAACAGTAAGATAATGATTTATTTATATTGGCGAGAAAAAAATATTATTAATCAAGAGGAAATGTACATACGTCCTCGTTTTTCAAGTCATTTGTTCCTGAATTATCGGCATTTCTCAATACATCTCCATATGAATTTAGCGGCCAGAACCCGTGAATTTTGAATTGCTGGGGGATTGGAAGTTTGCACCGCCATTCTCCAGTATTGCAAAACGAGTTTGGCCATTGCAATACAAGTTTAAAGTATGCTACCTTCCAGATACCTTGTAATAATAATACACATTAAAGAAATTAATTAATAAACTAAAAAAAAAAAAGTGCAGTAACAAGAAGCATTCAACCATCTCTTTTTGATAAAAAAAAAAAAAAAAAAAAACAAAAATGTAATTCACCTAATATTGATTTAAAAAAAAAAAAAGGCAAAAACATGCACATTGGTTTGATTGAGTTACCGAATGGCGGTAAAGTGGATATTAAATCTAGCTACCGGGTCTATCAAACTATCTTCTGATTTGGTTCTTGATTGAGTGTTGTATGTTCAAAAGTTTTGAGTCAACTTGTTATCAGTTAGCTAACTTATCCCAAATTTCATATGGTGGTGGACGTATTTATGAAGAAGATGATTGGCTTGAGCAAGCAATATAATAGATTGTACAATCTCAAATTTAGTTAGAGTCCGCCTCTTACGTAGACCTCAGGGTGCGCGAGTTGAGCAACTGCACAAGACCTCAATATTGTAGACGCACCAAAATTTTTTGTTAAAGGTGTATATATATGTATAATTATATATTGAAAATATATTATTAATTTTAAAACTTTGAATTTTTATTATTTTGTTAAGTTAAAGAGCACAATATATAATTATTGAAAAAGGGTAAAAAAAAAATTACATTATGTTAATATTTTTTTAAACTTAGCATGTTATTAAAAAAATAATTTATTTTTTCTAATTTTAAACTATCGCTCTTTCAATAAAAAATAAATAAAAATTTTAAACTATCTATTTTATCAGCCCAATCCCAAGTCCCAACTGCTCAAGTAGCTTCATTAACAAATTAACAACCCAACAAGACAATAAGCAGTCCAAAATTCGATGATTAAATAAAAGAATGAAATGTTAACCCCAAAATACCCTTTTCACCATTTTCCTCTCCCTCGCCCTTTAAGCCACGAAGAACACTGACACTAAGAAGAGAAGAAACTCTACCATCAGTCTTGTTTCTTACTCTACAATAGTACAATCTACATGGTAACATTGTCATTTTATTAGTGTCGAATGTTCAATTGTTAATTGCTATTTCGTGACTTTTTATTTTTTATTTTTAGTTCTAGGAGGATAAGTTTTTGTTGCATGAAAGGAGAACCATTTTAAGTGTTTTTTTTTTTTAATAAATTGCAAGAAAGAGCACCATTTTAAAATGTCACATAGGGCACTCAAAATCTCAAAAGTCGGCCCTGATCTTACACACATCAATTATTCTTCTAAGGGGCTAAAGTTCAACACAAAGCTTTTTGATTATTAAGTTATAGTAGCACTCAGCAATATTAGGCATCCTTTATCCTTTGCATGAATTAACAAAAATACATTTCTAGTAGAAGAGTGTTACATACCGCTTTGATTCGGCTGTTGAGGAACCTGAACATGAAAATATAAGAGATTATTAATATATTATTGGATGATAGCAAAAAAGTCATAATAATCAACAACAACATCATAAAAAAATACTTAAAGCTAACATCTTCTTCTTACAAAAATAAAGTCTAGCCAAACAATAATTTTTTTTTTTTAACTAAAACATAAAATGGAAAACAGATACTTACTGTGTTGAAAACCAATAACAATAGCAGAAATCCAAGGAAATGTGTCCTCATTTCTTAAAAAAAATTTAAAAAAATGGGTTGAACCCCAATCTTGACTGTTTAAATAAAGTTATTCATATATCATATGTATTACTATAAGAAAATGACGCCATAGCCAAATAAATGCACGCTTAATTCTCGGTTTCTAAATCCCGAAATTTTCGTCTGTAATAATCTGTCACTGTTCTTTCCATTTGTTATTTTATTTTTATGTAAATGCCCACGTGACTTTGACAAACAATCATATGAAAATCCAGGCCACAAGGACTACCTTTGAACGGTAAGATCATTAAGTTGGGGAAGAAAAGGGTGCGTGACGTGCGTCACTTATCATTTTGACAATATTCGCATAGCCAGCATATGATCATTTAGTTGACAATATCTAAATACAAAAATAATAATAATATTATTAAAAATAATAACAAAAATAATAATAATATTAAAAATAAAAAAATTTGACAATATTCAATGGGGGTAAAGTTGAACATTTCTAATTGTTCAAGGGCCATTTTTTATATAGAAAATAGAAAGATTGTAACAAAAATTATTTGGAGGCATAACGTCCGTTGGAGACGGCGAATTAACATTTCATCCGCTCAAACTCCAAATGGATTTTGCACAATTTCATTGGATTGATTTTTTATTTATATTATTATTATTATTATTATTATTATTATTATTATTATTATTTTGGAGTTTCGAAACAAGTCGAATTTTGTTGAGGAATAACTATATTCCTCTCTTCACACTTCATTCAACATGACTTCTCAATTTTTCAATGCAAAATTATTCTTTTGGCCTACTTGAAATTTGAAAACCAGGATGCTATTTAATGTTAATTTATTGATTTTTTAAATAAAATTTTAATATCTAGTAATATGTAATACTCCTATTGAATAGACTCAATACTAGAATTCAAGTCACATCATATCATACTTAGCCCATGTATGACAATCATTATTGTGGAAGAAAGGAGTTTTGAATAGAAATTTTTAGGTTAATTTAAATTTATATATAAAATATTTTATTATGTAAATGTGTAATTAAAAATATGTATGCGACAAAAAGAATTTTAAAATAATGGTTATCAAACAATGGCTTAATGAATTCCAAGTTGCTTAACGAAATGTTATTTTTTTTGCTTTAAGTAATGCCACCTCACAGATTAATGAACTTATTTTTGTTCTCTCTCTGTCCTTTGACGTTCCAATTCATTGTGGGGTTCCATCCTTATGATCATTATTGTCAGATTCCTAGTTCCCTTCTACTAAAGTGGAACAAGCAACTTTAAACGACATTTTCCACCCCTATTTCTGATGCTAACATTGATCACGTTTAACAGAACACTTATTAGTTGGATTCATAACTTGCTATGCAATCAATATTAAAAAATAATAATAAAAAAATCCTACTTACTTTAAAAGAAAGGATCCATTTCTACCATTCATTTTTGGGCCATAGCATTCACATTAGACTAGTTTGGAACCGGTTCAGCACTATTCACTAAAAAAGGATAATGGATTCCGTGTAATAATTGTATTGTTCATCTTTTTTTTTTTTACACTGTTATTTTTATTCATCTAACTATTTCTCATCTAACCCTACTCTCCATCGTCCTCTTGCAAAATTCAAAAATCTCTCCCCAAAAATCTCAATTCTAACTGTGAAATTGAAATCCTCAGATGATCGTTTAACTTTTTTCCTCTATCATTCTTCAAAAATCTTTCTTTTTGTTGTTACACTTGGTTCAAATTCGACCAACAAGATGTAATGATTGATTATAACTTCAACCAAAACCAAATAAATCCAACACAATTACAACACAATCAGTCCACAATTTACAAATTTCAACAGCAATTCAACACCCAACTGTAATAATATCCAACTGAGATAATATTCCACTAAGATAAGTGAAATATAAATGAAAGAAAAAGAACCAGAAAGAAGAGAGAGTTTCAGATCGAGAGAGAAGGAAGGAAACCAATTATGTCTGTTTTTCAACTTCCTTCATTCCTGTCTCTTGTTTAAGTAGTGGGAAAAAAAGCGTATTTACGGTTAACAATTTGAAATATGCTGAAACTGCCAATTTGAAATGTTGAAACTGCCGTCTCTAATTTAACACCGAACGGTGTCGTCTCCAGCTTGCAGTTTCTGGTAATTTCGTTGAGACCTCTTCTTCTTCTTTCTCCAGGAGCTTCCTTCCACTAGCTGCTTATGACATTCCTCCCCCTCAAATCGACCTTGTCCCCAAGGTTGGAAGTAGGGAAATTGCTTCTTGATAGTTGTAGCATCTTCCCAAGTTGCGTCTTCCCTGGCAGCATTCGTCCATTGCACTAACCATTGAGTAACAGCCCGATTATTCTGCTTAATGATGCGGGTTTGTAAGACTGCTAGTGGTGTGCCGCGCTGTTGCCCCGATTCATCAATCTCTGGAATTAGCACAATAGGTACTTCTTTGTTGCCTATCTTCCTCTTCAACAGTGAGACATGGAAAATAGGATGAATCTTAGACCCTTGGGGAAGTTCCAATTCATAAGCTACCTGTCCTATCCTTCTGATAATCTGATAAGGCCCGTAGTATCTTGCAGATAATTTGGAGTTGACTCGTGTGGCTATGGATTGCTGCTTATACCGTTGGAGCTTCAAATATACCCATTCGCCTACTTGAAACTCTCTGTCAACCCTGTGCTGGTCAGCATAGAACTTCATCCTTGCCCTGGCTTCTGCTAAATGTTCTTTAAGTAACTGATCCATATGGTGCCTCTCTTGTACCAATTCGCCTACTGTCGCAATGTTGGTCTGTTGGTAAGGGCCCAAGGCCAACCGTGGTGGCTTGATCCCGTACAAGGCTTCAAAAGGGCACATCTTGATGGCAGTATGATAAGTGGTATTATACCACCACTCAGCCAATGACAACCAGTTGGACCACTGTTTAGGCTGATGGAAAGTCATGCAGCGCAAGTACATCTCCAAGCATTGATTGAGTCTCTCAGTTTGCCCATCCATTTGGGGATGATATGCAGAACTCAGATGTAGCTCGGTCCCCAATAATTTGAACAACCCTTGCCAAAACCCACTGATAAATATTTTATCCCTATCTGACACAATACTTTGAGGCATCCCATGTAACTTGTAGATGAATTTGGCAGCTGATCTTGCCTTTTATGTAGTTGGATATAAACTACCATGACCTCGGCCTTTCCCAGTGGGATGTTACTAATGACTAAAAAACCATTCAAGTTGCATATGCTATTTTTGAATTTGACATCCTGTGTTCTCAATTTTGAATAAATATTGAACTTCTGATAATAGGATTTCAATATCTTCATTTTCTCATTTGCTTCATAATATTTGCAATAGAGATAAAATTTTCAACATCTGTATTTTTAAGATTTCTATTACAGTTTTCGTAAATATGTATTAGTTTCTCTTCTTAGTTGATAGTTATTTTGTATGTTGAAATTGTAGGTTCAATTTAGTAATTAAATGCGCCACCATTACTCCTGGTAGGCACAACTCATCTTAAATTGTTCGATGCTATGCAGTTGCTCTTCAAATCATTTTATCTTTAAAATATGAATCAGATCATTATCCCTTCTACACATTAATAAAAGAGGAAATGTGGTGTGCACTGTTCATTTTTGTCCCCTCGTGTTCATACTAAAGGATAGGCACTGTTCAAAAACAAGTTCCATACTGTTCATCAAAACATATTTGGTATGTATTTGCCTTTTGTACCTCTTGTAATACCATTTATACCTTCCTAATCTCTCTAAAGAATTGTAGGTAGCCATTGACTCCGATAGACTTTGGTGACGAGGACGACAAAGACGAAGACATGAAGAATAAGGTTTCGTCATGATTCCTGGAGTTGGACAAAAAAAAAATTTGGGTTCTCTATTTTCCTTCTTTCTAATTCTACTTTCTAAGTTTAGTCGACATTTTTCTTTGCTTAAATTTGGAGGTTTTGAGTATATATGATTTCTGGGCATCTCATAAATAGCTTAAATAGTTCTTTAGTTTTGGGAATTCCATATTCTGATTTTTTGAGGTAACACTTTTACTTTTTCTTAGATACTTATTCTTTGTTCTCTGCGTCTGTTAGTTTGTTTTTGAACCGAAATTAACTTCTTGCTCTTAAATTCATTCTTTTGATTTGATTTCTTGAATTTCAAGTTTATTCCTATTTTTAACTTTTGTTGTTTAAATAGTGTGTGCCAATAATGTTGTGAGAATGCAATTTATTAGTTCCATGGTTCATGCAGTGGACCTCCATGATTTTCCCATTAGTATCCTTGTTTGACGTCTGGCAAACATCGAATTAGTTGGAGCAGACCTCGATTTGGCTCCAAATCCCGATCTCAAGATCGACTGGTCATCAAGTCAATGGAGTATGACAAATACGAACTATTCATATAAAAAACCCAATAAATCAATATTTTCATATGCAGTGAGTATTATTTATGAGCTACTTCTCACATTCTGTGAATAGCCGTGACATGAGAGAGAAAAGCATTTAACAACTTGGACTAATTCTATATGTGTTCCTTCCAGATAAGGGAAAAAAGGATGTGAAAGAATAAATCTCAAGATCGACTGGTCATCAAGTCAATGGAGTATGACAAATACGAACTATTCATATAAAAAACCCAATAAATCAATATTTTCATATGCAGTGAGTATTATTTATGAGCTACTTCTCACATTCTGTGAATAGCCGTGACATGAGAGAGAAAAGCATTTAACAACTTGGACTAATTCTATATGTGTTCCTTCCAGATAAGGGAAAAAAGGATGTGAAAGAATACATTTTTCTTTTAAGTTGTTAAATCTCCTTTATTGATCAATATGTGATATTCCAACTCCTCATTATACTGAAATCCATATGATATTGTGATTAATTCGTTCTTGCCTAAATTCAATTCCTCAAACAAAACTAGATCTTCATTATTTATTTGTTTTTTTTCCTTTCTTTTCTATTTTAATTGAGTGAATATCATTTCTTAATGTTAATTTTGGGATTTCACTTGCACGCAATAGCCTATATCGAAGGAGACAAGTACTATGGAGAAAAGCAACCATTAATGTTTGGGAACCTAAAATACAGCACCATCATAACGAGTTCAATTTGTTCCAAATTTGGTTACTGGGTGGTTCATTTGGTGAAGATCTCAATAGCATCAAAGCTAGTTGGTAGGTATATTTTTCTCCAAATTACTTGGTCAATTATAATTTGTTGCATTCATCTAATGGATTAGAATACATGTTATTTTAAGTTAGCCCTGATCTCTACGGAGATAACAGCACAACCATATTTTAGTACATGCTAATAGACAATTTAAAAAAGAAGCTCATATTAAATAGAAGTTAATTATAAGTAAAAAAAAAAAAACTCGAAGAAAGCATCTAATGGAGGTTCTTAACAGTTAGTCTTGTGTTTTGGAACATGCTTATATTATATGACAATTATGTTTCTCTTCCAATCCAATTTACCACATAGAGTAAAAGCTTCAATTGGCATCCAATGTCGGATGTCTCTGATAATTGGAGCTAATTGGTTAAATATAGAGGAAATTTTACTATTAGTTCATCCCAAGCATAAATAAAATAGTTAATGCCTAAGCAAGCTAAAGAATAGTACGAATCATGCTGTAAATTTCTCTGTCAAAATGATTTTTCTTATATTTGTAGTTTTTTTCATTGGACAGACTTTGAGAAATCGTTTGGCAATGATAAGAGAAGAAAATGAAAATCCAATTTTGAGAATTCTTAAAATGAAGGAAGGATGAGAATTGACTCCCAAAAAAAGAAAGCACTGAACATGTCTTCAAAGTCATGCATAGCACTCAACATGTCTTTAGAGTCATGTATTCTCTCAAGAAGAAGAGCAGCAGAAGTAAAAGTGGTGTTCGTGGCAACTCTGTTTCATTTGATGATATTCGGGATGGTGATGAGCTGCAAGCTATTATGGCATTTCAACGAGCCTTGATGCTAATTGCCAAACAAGTTTGATGATTATCATATGATGTTGAGGTTATATACAACACTTTTGCTACTTTTAGTCTAATGTTCGCATGTATGGATGGAAATATAAACTGCATTTTGGTTTAACATGTTGATGTCCTGATTTTGTCCTCATTACTATGGAGGTAACTAGACATCCCTTCCTCCTTTAGTAGGACAATTTATGATTTTGTTGCATCACTTTGTAGTTTTTCCTATATTGTAGTCAGTGGTTAAGGTTTGAGGGATTGCATTTAATAGTCTTTCCAGATAAGTTATTTTTCTATTTCTTGTAAACAATTTAGTATATAGTTGGAAAAGTCTACAACTATTCAAACTTTTGTAGATAATTATCCTGAAGTGACATTTTGATCTTTTATTTGATCAGAGCTATTAGGTTTTGTGTAGTCTTTGTAGTGTAATATATTGTTTCCTCCAAATGTTGCAGACATTTCATAAAATATTTATCATCACATGCTACTGTAGAATATTGTAAAGAGTTTTCTTGATCCCTGGGCTACCACTAAGACACATGTATGTTGCTATTTCTTTCTTTTTCCATCTGGAAGCATTATTTTTCTCACTTAAATGGCCACTTTAATTACTCAGTCTATCATTTATCTGGAATATCTCACATGTTCTTGAAACCAAATATAAGAACAAGTTGCTTAAAATAAAAGATACCAAGTGCAAAACAGTGGAAACCATTGTTGCAACTTGTGAACATTGAAATTTATTTCGAGATTCTGACGTAAATTTTTGGGTTTGTGCAGTGATTAGAATTCTTCGATGGAACGTGTATCTGTGCAGACCAAGGGGTTTGCCTTTGGTCAGATAAAGGACCATGGAAAATTCCTGAGATACTAAAGGTCCTTCCTAACATGGGAGATATTAAATTGATCTACAAAGATAATATATAAATACTTGTGTTATAATTTTGATCATGTTAAAAAATAATAAACGGTTCGAAATCATGCTGCAGATGGTGCTTGATGGTGAAGCACAACTGCCAGGAAGGTGGTTGAAATTCTTAACAATGATGGAGAGATAGTTTATGCTAAACCCCACTACTAGATTGTATAGACTCTTTCTGTTGTGCATATGATTAGGCACAACTACTCCACAATATTTCTGTTATGTGAGATTTTGTTTTTATTTGGTTGTTGAAGTAGGTAAAAGGCAGTGACACCTCAATTGTTGAATTTGGTTCTAAAGCTGAAGATATTTCTTCACCAAAAGCTATTAGGAGTTACTCGCACCTTTGATTGAATTCCGTTCGTGAGGAGGTATGGTCAAGCCTTACAATTTCAAGATTAGATATTTAATTATCTGCAATTGAAAATAATATTTTATATAAGTTTAATTGAAACCTCTCTGATTTGATGCTTGTAGGTCAGTTAGTATTTGCTTAATTGCATCATTGCTTGATATCGTCTCTTTGATTGGTTTAAAAGAATCGTATATACCCTAAAAAGGTGTCCAGTTACATGGAAATTAAATTTAGATCAAAATGTTATAATTCGGGTTGTGCAATCTTTTCCTACTAAAAAAATATCAAGTAAAGTGACGTTAATCAAGAGTTCATTAGTTGTTTGGTAGTTATTATTTATAATGTCTATCATTTTATTTATGATATAAGGAACAGATTCTTCATGAAATATAACTAAACACACAGTTTCTTGTAAGAAATATTTTTACCTATAAATCTAATTTTCCTTACTTAAGAAAGGGATAAATTTACCATATACAGTGTGAAACACAACATAGAAAAGTGTTGACACTTTCTCAACTTCCACAAAAATTAATGTGGAGGATCAACCTTTCTCTCCCGATTATCTCAAGTCCTTGTTTCTCAAGTTAAAGATAATGGAAACTCTAGCTTGGTAACTTAGCACGATATGATGAGTGTGTTCCTATGGTTGACAAAATTGTTGATTCTGGATGGAGAAAGCAGACATCACTTTCAAAACCTTGTATTTTTAAAGGTTAGTAGTTTTAGAAGTTCCACTTTTGTAGCTGCCTCCATACATAATGTCCGATTCAGCCTACAATCTTTCTCATGCTTATTTGTTCATCTAATACTTGCTTCAAAGAACTAGGGGGTCTCCTTTCCTTAGGTTGAACCCATCATTCTGTCATTTCAAACGTCGCCTTAGATGCTCATTTTTATTCTTATAACTCTTATCATATGCTGATCATGTTTAAAGGTTATCTATGATTAACTTATGATTGTTCTTTTGTTTGTTCTTTTGTTAATAGCTAAGCCTTAATAACCTTTTGTTTTATCCTGATATTAAATGACTGCTATATTGGAGATATAAGATTAGCTATGTCTAAATAAGATTACAATGACACTAGATTAGTAACTATTTTTTGATTGCACGGTATATGATTTTTCCCCTCTTTGATTTTTATATCTCCAGGCATAAGAGAAGAGAGAAGGAAAAACTTGTTCAAGCATATTCTTCTTAGGATCTTGAAGAAATTCTTGTAAGTTTATTTGTATTACTTTGATCCTATATCAATTATTTATAGAAATTATTCTCAAAATAAACACTCTCATTATTTTACTGGATCCATTTTATGTGACTATACTAATTTTCATATTCTAAATGTGTTGGCAAACAACTATCCTGATTAGATTTGAGATAAGAGTGGTATTATTTAAGAATCTATGTACCATAATTAATTTTATTAATATTCTAGGTAAGCCACTCTCTAATTTCAAATTCTACACTATATTTTTCAGAGCTCCGGTAGAATAAGAGGATGCTTGATAAACCCATCCGAGAAATTGGAAGGAAAAGAGAATATTTACAAGCACAACAAAAGAAACTGATTGTGGAGATAAAAGGAAAAAAAATGCTAAGCAAGGACAGATGGTAAGTTGTTCTCTATAGATAATTTCATTTCAGCTTCTTAGACTATATGGCTCTCTTTTCTCCCATAGGCCCCATCTGCAATATTGCCCAGGTTGCTCCCATGAAGACATTTTGGAATAATTTTTTGATCAGATTGATTTTAAAGATAGATTCAATAATGACAATTTAATGAGTTTTCATCTTCATTATATGAACCGTCTAGAAGAAACAAGCTGTCCAAATTTAAAGCTCAAATAACAGAAGTGAAAGGGATAATGATGGACAATATTGAGAAAGTATAGCAAGAGGCATCAAAGAAGCCCAAGCACGAGAAGCCAATATAGGAGTCGTGAAAGAGACCTTCCTACAAGCCTTTTGGTCTGCGAACTTTGACATGATTGCAAGTCTATTTTAATGTTTCTTAAATGCAAATTCAATTGCTATTATTTCTTGTAGTTGTTCAACCTGCTTCAAGCTACTTTCTTGTTATTGAAATTAGTTTAAAAGCATTGATATCTTCTTCCCAATTTTTTGATTTCACTATCACGCCTTGGAGATATATCTTCCATATTATAAACATTTTCTTTTCTACAGAAAGCATTATTTCCTGTCTTTGGCATTTGGTTACTATTTTAGATGTATTGATCATCTGAGTATATGAACCTAATCTATCCATAAGTATTTTACATGTCATGTTAGTTGGATGCACAAAGTTATTTCATTAGGCATATGCTTATTTTGATAGTGTGTGTATCCAATTCCATGTTCATATTAGTGTGGTTTTATATGTATCAACTTCCTTGACTAAAATATGAATTATATACCTTCACTTGCATAGGAAAACCTCATCCCTAAAAGAATCTCACACAGACACAATGGCATTTAGGAATATGTTATTTAGAGTGAACTGAGCCATAAATTTTATTTACCAAGTGTGTTTCTAAATACTAAAGATTAGTAAGTGCCTAAAATTTGGGTGAAAATTTATTGAACCTTCAGAATAATTCCAATTATATTTGAGACGCTAACATTACCTTAAAAATAACACGACTGGTGCATTGCACGGGCGTGAGACTAGTAATATCTAAAAGAAGGTGACATTTCAAGACAAACCACTTAATCTTTTAACTTTTATATGAAAAATAATTGCTTCATTTCAAGGTCCAATTAATTAATTAGAGCACAACAAACGTTACTATTATTCGATATTTCTTTATTTATTTCATCGAATATTTAATCACTAAAAACTGAAACTATAAAATAACTAGAAAATATAATTCGTTCCTTTTTCATTCATGTTATCAAATGAATTTCACTATTATCATTTTTTGAGTAAATATTTGACAAGTCTATTGATATATTGATTGATAGAAATTTTAAGCCAGATTAATGCACGTAATCGAGTGAATGACATTATACCCTATTGAAATCGAGTGTAAGTATTTCAAACAAAACTTAAATAAATAAGAAAACGAGGCTCAATTAAATCATTGATTTTTTTATTGTTATTTGTTATGTTGAACCACGTCATTATACCCTATTGAAAACGAGTCTAATTATTTCAAACAAATCTTAAATAAATAAGAAAACGAGGCTCAATGAAATCATTTATTTTTTTATTGCTATTTGTTATGCCTCGCCACACGTGGCTCTACGTCACCGGGACCCTCTTGTCCACATGGCTGACCACCGAGGCCCCTTGGTCAAGCAGTCGACCTACTCAAACATTGGAACTACATCAACCAAGCTTCCCACACGGGAAATTATTCCAAGGCCCATTCGCGTCTCTTCTATTGAAGCAAAGGTTCTGAGGCGAGAAGGTTCCATGAGGTTCGAGGCTTGCTACAACTAGTAACAACCTGCACAAGAAAGATCCTAGACTTATGTACGAAATTCTTTTGAAATGATTGATGAGACATTGTACTGAGTATAAATGTCGAGTCTTATCAATAAAGTGGCGGCTCTATATAAGCATTGAGTGCACTACAAGCCAGTGGGTCAAAATTGCTACCTATGATTAGATGTTTGGATTAAGGAGATAAGGTCACGTTTACTTTCATCCAAGGGCCACCATTTCATTTTTAATGCTATAAATATCCCCATGTAACATTTAGGGACTAATGCAACTTTAGATACTAAAAGTGAATCCTTGTTTTCTCTCTTATCGAATTTACTCTTACTTAGCACCTCTGTTTACATCATTTTACTTGGATCGAGTTATTTACGATTGGACATGACCATACTAAACTAAAGAAAATGTACTTAGACACTTGTGTTCAAGATCTTAGTTTCAAAAATTATGGTGTGTAAAACCGTTATAGGACTTTATATTGCAGTTCAATTTTTTTATGAAGAAATTAACTGAGTAAATAGTAATTTTCAAAACATGGTATGTGAAGTGTAATTACAACTGATATACGGGACTTGTCATGTAAATTTCCTCAAAAACATTTCCTATCCGAAAATGAAATGTCATGACACTTGATTACTATTGGTTTAGGGTTGTGATGGTGGAACATCTAACAGGCTTACCAAGGCTAGGCAACCCACTTGTACCATCTGGTTCTACTTTTGGATTGTGTTAATATTCATTAGCTATCTCAGTGTTAATATTCATTAGCTATCTCAGTTTTCTCATACAAGCCATTTATCATTTATCGGTGCCAGCCACGTGGGTTGATTATGT